TCCATAGCTTCATGTTTTATTTCCCTTCTCTTTACTGCCTAAGCTTTAATCCTTTTCCTATACCATCTGTATGCGTGTGTGTGTGTGTGTGTGTGTGTATGTTAGATTAGTTTAGGTTCTCAATTCCACCGGATATTCCGCCATGATTCCAGTTTGAAGGGAGCGTATATGTTCCATACAAAGGGCATTTAAGTGTGCCAGATGTGAATTTAAATTGTATTTATTTACAGAGGTATATTATGTCCCACTTCACACTTCTCTAGTAAGTTTCATATGTGTGTGAAGATGCTGTAGGCAGTGGCGCAGCGCAAATCTGTAAATGAATATTTCCACTGCTCAGGGAGTAGGGAGCAATGGACACTGTGTAGGGACCATGTCAATCGGAACACAGTTCATGCACGGAGCTCACAGGGGGTACGCGAGGACTGGAATTGAGAACCGCTGCCTTAAAAGCATCCTCCAAATGTGTTCCGAAGTCACAATGTTCAGAGAGTTGTTTTAAAACTGATACATACTGTGCAACCGTCACTCCTTCCTCTTGATTGCGTTTGTGGAAACAGAAGTGTTCTGTTATTATGCTATTATCCTTTTATGTCGTAACAATCTCTTGATACGTCTTTTCTCCTGGTTTAGCCGTTCAATACATGTTTGTCCACTACTGGATGGCCTCGTCAAAAGCATCAATATGCCCGATAGTCACCATTCTGTTTGTGGATTATGTTGATTTGAAGTCCCGATGCTTGCAGTCAACGTTTCAAACGATGTGCACTCATTTTCGTCAAAAAAAGTCGATATGTCGAATCCTCGTCGCCAATTTTGTCGTATTTATCAGAATATCATTATATTCTATGGACAAAGATACAATGGAGGCCGAGTGCACATAACCTGCACTCTGAAATGCCAAAGCTACCACGGAATACAGTTTCCGTGAAAGGGTGTACATGGTCTGCAACAATGCTTAAGTAGGTGCTATGTGTCAATGTAACATCCACATGGATAGCAGGACCCAAGGTTTCCCAGCAGAACGTTGTCCAAAGCATCACACTGGCTTGCCTTCTTCCCATAGTGCATCCTGGTGCCATGTGTTTCCCAGATTTTCAGCACATCCCACAGATACTCGATTGGATTGAGATCTGGGGAATTTGGAGGCCAAGTCAACACCTCAAACTCGTTGTTGTGCTCCTCAAACCATTCCTGAACCGTTTTTGCTTTGTGGCAGAGCCACAGCTACCAGGGAATACCGTTTCTGTGAAAGGGTGTACATGGTCTGCAACAATGCTTAAGTAGGTGCTATGTGTCAATGTAACATCCACATGAATAGCAGGACCCAAGGTTTCCCAGCAGAACGTTGTCCAAAGCATCACACTGGCTTGCCTTCTTCCCATAGTGCATCCTGGTGCCATGTGTTTCCCAGATAAGCGACGCATACGCACATGGCCATCCATGTGATGTAAAATAAAATGTGATTCTTCAGACTAGGCCACAATAAATGTTCGATATAATGTTCATACGCCAATAGCAGAAAAAAATTTGAAGCGTGCCGCACGGACAGTTTATCCGCTCAGCTCAAGTTCAAACGGCAGCGCAGCGGTTGCGAGCTCACTAGAGCAGATGCATTTACTCACTGATAAGCCTCGGTCCCGCGAGCACTAAACAGCACTTTGAGATCCAGTGTGAAGCGCTTGAGTTAAGTGAAGAACACAAATGACTCGCTGATTTAAACTAGTTAAAAGCCAGATGAAACAGCGCTGACAGACAGTAGAAATACTGTGAGAACGATACAGTAAATAACTCGTGTAGTTATTTACCTGTAGTTGTTAATTATGATGAGTGTCAGCAGATTTCTGTTTATGCTTTCATTGTTCATTCTTACTGTTATTTAGAAAGACAGACAACACAGAAATACATAGAATGTGTGAATTAGCACTTATGTGAGTGTAGTGTTACTGAATGAGCATTTTAAACTGATGTGCTCCACATTCTTACTTTTGTGTTGACACTCTTTTAATACAGTGATATAATGATTTACAAAGTGACAACACTTCTTGATTTCTTGTTGATTATGGCAAATCTGCTTCTTCCACACAGAAATTCAGATGGAATATTCCCATCAGTTTATCGGTGCAGACGAGCATCAAAGCATGAGGAAGAAATCTGTAAAGACTGAGTTTATTAAAGAGGACAGAGAGATGAGAGATCCAGAACCCTGCAGAATCAAACACACTGAAGATACTGAAGAACAAACAGGTTGGTGTTTATTTCAGTGTGGGAAGAGTTTCATACTATCATCACATCTTAAAGAACACATGAGTATCCACACAAGAGAGAAGTGGCACACATGCGATCAATGCGACAAAATGTTTCTGTGGGCTTCAGTCCTGAAGAATCACCTGAGAGTTCATACAAAGGAGAAGCCACATTCATGTCATTTGTGTGGAAAGAGTTTTTCACGTCTACAAACTTTGAAAGAACATCAGATGATGCATACTGGTGTGAGAGAGTACATGTGCTTTGAGTGTGAGAAGACTTTTACTACAGCAAACTTTTTAAAACAGCACGAGAGGATTCACACCGGAGAGAAACCATATAAGTGTTCACACTGTGACAAGAGATTCAATCAGTCAGGAAATCTGAAAACGCACGAGAAGATCCACACTGGAGAGAAACTGTACAAGTGTTCACACTGTGACAAGAGATTCAATCAGTCAGGATACCTGAAAACACATGAGAGGATCCACACTAGAGAGAAACCTTACAAGTGTTCACACTGTGACAAGAGATTCAGTCATTCATCACATCTGAAAACACACGAGAGGATCCACACTGGAGAGAAACCATATCACTGCACTGCATGTGGGAAGTGTTTCAGTC